CATTTCGTGGATACACTTTCACGAAGAACCTATTTCTGGGATACCGCAGTCCCATGTGGATCAGAAAATAGCCACAATGTAGTACAACTAAACCCTGATGAAAATAAATATTATCTTCTCACTCCATACCCCACATTAATGCAATCACTCAAAAAATTTTCACCAGAAAGCATTCGCGCTATCGCTCGAAACCCAAATATAGACTTACAATCAATAGGAATCTATTCAAAATCAGATATTCAACATCACATTAGAACACAACAATTCCAAGAGTTACTAACACAAATGGACACTATACAAAGACAATCAATTGACCAAAACTTACGCAAACTTGCAGAAACCGCAGGATTTGCCGATATCTACGCACAAGACTATAGCGGATATTTTAAAGACATTAAAGATTATATATATCTAAACGGCGAAAAATACCGTCCCCAAGATATATCACCAATTAACATTTTTAGCTTTGTTACACTCAAAAATGAGATCCTAGATTTTCTAGGATGGCCCTACTACATCTTAGAAAAATTGACTATTTTATACGCAATGTTTAACTTTATTGGATTTCTTTTCTCACTCTTAAAAGGAATCTACAATACATGTGCTATACACACACAAGTAAACAGACAAGCAAGCGTAGCACGCATACTCTTTGCAGGATTTTTTGGAATCTTTTCCACATCTATAAACAAAATTCTTTTAGACGCACAAATAAAAGAATATAACACAAAAATAACAACACGACAAAATACATACGACGAAGAACATAACAATGTAGACACACAGCCAACGGCACCACAATTACCACCCCTACCAAATAACCATCCACTATCCCTAGCCCCGCGAAATTTTAGAAATTTAGCAATCACACATAATCCAAATTTTCGACTCACCACATTACAAAGTCCCGTCCAACATATAGTGACACATCCACCACAAGATGATAATACTTATGAACAAATTATTGAACAACCCCATACCACCGCTTTTCAATCTCAAAATAATAATTTTTTTAGCCCACGATGAGCCGCCAACTTGGATCACTCCATCGATCAAATTCCCATCCAACCAACCTTACCTCTTCAATCCCAATAATCCCACTTTTTGCTTTTCCGCCACCCGATTTTCCATCTAGCAATGTAACATCAGGCATGAATTCCGACACTAACTCACAAATTTCAGTTTTATACTCCATCTCACAGCTAAATAACCCGAATATTGAAACCCCCGATGAATTTGCCGACTCAGAACCATCTCCATCCAATAATTTCCATAAACCTTCTCATTTTTCTCAACCTCCCTTTCAACCCATATTGTCAAATAACCCTGACCCCATCACTCCTACACCCTCTTATGCTTCCCAAGTTACCCCAACCTACTCCTCATACCACTCTGACCAATCATCTCCAGATACCCCCCGAATCTCCCCAGAGCTAGACAATTTTATTACCCTCCAACAACAACCCTACCACCTTAACACCCCGACCATCAACCAAATCTCCTCCACTACAAATTCATCCAATCCCCCTACACCCTCTTCAAATTATACTGAATCATTAGCACCATCATCCACATCAACTGAATCCTCACTCAACACTAATAGAGCTTACCGCACTTTTAAAAGAAAGTTCCCCAACCATCCTTTCCCAGCAAAACCAGGAACAGCCCGTGAATACATCAACCACCCCCAGCATACTAACACTAGAGAATTTTTAGCTATCACTTTACCCTCATTTCCACAATACACCTTAAACACCCCTCATGACGCTAACGAAACACGCAACTTTGTAGACGAATACGTTTTAATGCCCACTCTCTCTTGGACCTCATACTATCATTTCACTAACCCTCTTTGCTTACCTTTAACCAACACATCCATCGATATAGACCGAAACAAAGACATGCTATATCGACTAACTACACCACTCACCGCTAGACAATTTACTTACGTAGGATATAAAAAATCACTAAAAATACACACTGCACCTAGAGCTAATGAATATACACTAGAATACTACGATCACAACATCATCAGAGCTAACCAAGATCAATTCTTAGACGACGATCGCTTCGCTAACCCACAAATCACCGAGAAATTTTTCATCAAGACACCATATGTATTTACACTAAACATCTTTGACCGAAAGTTTGATCACATTATTTCAGAAGCACTAACAAGCACACAAGCATACGAAAGTTTTAAAGAACGCTTCCAAATCTTCTCACTAACCTTTCATTTCCTTGCACCACACGAAAGAGATTTACACTGCTCACACGATATTATGTTGCGAACTAAACAAACACATACATACAGTTACTATCGTTTCATCCAAAATCACTTTGACCTCCACACACCCTCTAGACAACCACACCATCGTTTCCAATTCATCAATTCAAAATACACTTCACCATATTTCCTAAATTTCACATATTGTATTAAAGACACTAACCTTCATGGTATTCTTCGTAATTATGACCCCATAACCCAAATGTATATTTTCTGCCCCATCACCAAGACCTTCAATGCAGAAGAATCCCGACCCTTCCTTATCCCGCACGAGTTTGTACAGCCTATAGAAATCCCCATTTTAGAATTCATCCACAACACTAAATTTAACCACAAGTTATATAACTTAATCCAAAACACACCTTATGAGTTTGCAGTAGGCACTGAAGAACTAACCACTATTAAGGCACTTCAATTGCTTTGGCCACTACTTCAAACTAAAAATATCATCCGCATATTAGCTAAACTACTCACAACTTCAGAACTAATTCACGACATCTTCCCCCACGGTTTTTTCCCCGACGACTAACAGGTAAGTATGAATTAAATGAATATTACTAACTAATTAAAATATTGAAAAAACTCACCATTCTTTATTCATGTTTTCTTTAGATTTTTAGCCTTCATCCGACGATCACCTACAAAAACCACAAAAGACAAATAAAAATCGCAAATTTCATCAAACAAATTTCCAAAATTCTATTAATCTCTTACACATATAAATTTATAAATTCAATACCAATGCAGTAAATTAATTTATAAAATTTTCCCCCAAAAGCAGTAAATCTACATATGATGAAAATTTGTATCTTAAAATTCCCCCATTACTAGCAGTAAATTTCCAAATTCTATGCAGTAAATTAATAAAATGCAATTGCAGTACTAACCTTTTGATATTTTCATTCACTCGCACAGAAATTCTATCCATACTCGCACAGCTCGCCCACGAAGAATTGTTTAAAATAATGAATTTCAGTTTCAAGTTTTCACACTCAATAACTCTAACACACGATAACAAGTTTCAAACTTTCCTTTAACCCGGTTGGAGAGGAATCATATACTAAACAAAACTAACCAACGCAGCTTACTAAATACCACAAATCATAGAATAACAGCATGACTAAGAAAAGGAAACCAACGGTACCCAAACCGGATTAACCCAGTTTAAAACTGGATAATTTATTCTTTTGAAGACTATTATAAAGTCTTAGAAAGAAATAATAAAACACAAAAAAGTCGAAAGACAAACCCATACCACAAACAATTTGATTTTTGAAAAAAGGACACAACCAAAGAAACATAAGTAAAACCACAACAAACCCAACATAAAACGTTGTCACATAACAGGACCCCTCACAAAAACCGCATGAAATCATACTCCCACACCTGGCCTAACCCACCAGGAAAGGACGTCCTGAGCATGCTCTATAGCCGGCCTAACCCACCGTGCTACATCCACGCTTTGTGACCACACCTTTATTTTTAATAAGAGCTACTCAAGGGTGAGTAACTCTTCAAAATAACCGAACTAAAACAAAAAGCTTTTGTGAAAACAACTAACTAAAATCATGATTAAAAAATATTAAACTAATAAAAGTTTTATAAAATGTAAAATCACATGATGCAATATATAGATCAGAATACAACACCAAGGACGAACATCAAAAGACAAGACGACCTCACTACACTCGAGAGAGAATGACCAACTACAATCGATATGCCACTCACAATCACAACTCAAAGGATTTAGAGTACGACTTGACTTCGCAGAAAAGGACTTCATTGAACTAGACCAATGACCACCTCGATGTTCAAGTATACGTACAGATCCGAGTAATCAGGCATCCCCTCCACGCACAATCTCCACGCCATTCCCAAGCTAGATCAGATACAAAGGAAGTTCTCCCTGAAGAACAGAAAAACCTGACATAGCCAACCATTCTGAAATCAGAATTGGTTTTGTTGCAAAGACTCAGTCGTTGTCACAAGGAGAAGCGAAAGAAAATTGTGATGTTCGCCAAATACCAACGTCCATCATCCATCCTTGAACTACAGAAGAACTGTTCTAAAAAACACTGTAAAACCCGGATGGGTGGAACCTGATCTAAACTATATTTTATGATTGGATAAATTAAATGTTTTACCAATGTAAAGTATTTAATATTAACCAATCATGATCCATCTAACTAACAACCCACTTATTTGTAAGTGCTGAAGTTACTTGTAATTTCAGCACCAGAGAGATTTGAATTTAACTTAGAAATTAGTTGGACTCTCCCGAGCACTTCAGCAGCCGCAATAAACCAGTATACCCTAGATCTATTGAGCCTAGCAGAGACTAGTTAAACAACCTGAGACTAGATAGTATAAGAGTAAGATTAGGATCGGTATTAGACTAAGAAGTTGCACGAATCTATCCGGCCGAAAATAAGATAGCGTGACGAGCAGACGGTGTACCCTATCCGAAATTACTCTATGAGTTACGCCCCAGTCCTAACTCAATATGGTTGAATATATTACTCCAATGCTTCGCGCAAAATGCCACAAATTTTTCTGTTCTGTCATGAAACGTCGATCAAAGTCGCAGCTTACTCACTTTTGCTGACTAAACTATTATTTTTTCAAGCGAGAGTCATTTTAAACAAAACTAAGAGACTACTTCTAGTCAGGCAAGCAAAAACCGGCAAACAATCACAAAAATGAACCAACAAAAGTGTTCTGTATTATCGTGTTTTGGTCTATCTGTGCTATTCTAGAATGAAAACAATGTTCAATAAGTATAAACTAATATATAAATCTACCGTTAAACTAAAAAAAACATAGCTTTTGTTTTTCACAACTTTGCAGCCACGTGTATTACAGTTAACAGAGCATTCAACACTTTCTAATCTGTGGCTGCTAGTCTTATGGTAAACAGGTAAGAAAATTTTTTGATTAGATAACCATAAACTCTTTTTCACGCTTAACTTTTCCATACAATCAAAATCAATCGAATCTAAGATTTCAATTTCAAGTAAACACCGACAGAGTTTTTAGTTTGGTTTTTGCAGGAAACTATAGTTCCAAACTTTCAAAGCTCAATTGAGCAAAATTTCATAGCTCACAAGAAATTGATTATCAAAGCTCAAACCTATTTTACCATTATTGAGATTTTCTCCATAAAAGTCTTGTTGTTTGAAGTTGAAAGTTTTTTTCTCATAGTCAAAAATCAAGAGAGCCGCAAAAATTAAAACTGGTTTTCTGGAAGAGTTATTTTTCCAGAAAATTTGATTGGTTTGATTTGAAAGTAGATTTTTTCCATGTACAAGATGGCAGAAGAAAGTGCAGCAACTGACACGTTTTTGGACGAGGCAAACAAGTTATTCGAAACATACTGCGCTGAGTGGTATAAGAAACCTGATGCAGAGAGGCGACCTCTAATGTTTCCACCAGCACCTTCACAAACATTTATCGACGTTTACAAAGGTTCTACTTAACATCTAGCAAGCCCTTGTTTTTTCAGTGATGAATAGGATACTTTTGAGCTAAGATGGTAACCCGCCCCCAGCTCTACCGGAAGCACTACCCCAACCCCACCTGAACCACTTGCCCCTGATCTGAACAACCCCCCATCGCCAACCTGAACCAACCCCCTCTTCTGAACCACCGTCTCCGCCTGAATCACTTAAAATAGTAACAAAAATCAAATTTGTGCAGAAAGAAGTTGAAATTGAACAACAAGTAACAACCAATTTTAGTTTAAAACGTAGAAAATAATCTGTGTGCGTTGAAGTTCGCATCTCAATAAAATGGAAACAAATCGATTATTAAGTAGTTTCATTGTCTTGATCTATGAACGTGAAAAATAATTAAATTTAATTGACTAGCAATCCACTTTAATAGACACGGTTTCCTTAGAAAATTTCGGTAAAATTTTCCGACGGTTTCCAGTGTCGGAAAAAAAACAATTTTTTTCTATCAGACTTTTTTAGTGCAAAAATTACTTCACATTGATTATTGATTGGTTGCAGGTGAAAAGAGAAGTTATTGGCAAAGTAGAATATTTGATATACATTTGGAACCTGATCTAAACTACATTTTATTATTTATACTTAGACATTTTACCACTGTAAAGTATTTAATATTAACCAATCACAATCCATCTAACTAACTACCCACTTATTTGTAAGTGCTGAAATTACTTGTAATTTCAGCACCAGAGAGATTTGAATTTAACTTAGAAAATAGTTGACTCTCCCGAGTACTTCCGCAGCCGCAACAATACCAGTATACTCTAGATCTATTGAGCCTAGCAGAGACTAGTTAAACACCCTGAGACTAGTAGTTATAAGAGTAAGATTAGGATCGGTATTAGACTAAGAAGTTGCACGAATCTATCCGGCCGAAAATAAGATAGCGTGACGAGCAGACGGTGTACCCTATCCGAAATTACTCTATGAGTTAGACCCCCATATCTAAACTCATCTGGTGCGACCATAAGTCTCGAACAAGACCTTAAAAAACAAATTAGCTTAGAACTAACAAAAATTAGATTAGAAATAGACTAAAACATTTTCAAAATGTTATACGATAATAATTTGATTGAATGGTCTCTACGACTAAATAGATCAAAACCGCTCTTCCGAACAATACTAGAACAACCACGTATTGGAAACAGACCTCGGACAAGAGACGACATACGAGTACGGAGAAACTCACCAAATAGTTTCATGATTGTACGGCAAAAGCCACAACAAACTTTTATATTTAGAATTATAATGGCAATGAATTTAGATTTTCATTCGCAAACATAAAGTTCTTGAAGAAAAATCTTCAATGCATCTATCAGGCGCTTAATAAATTATTATTGTTCAATAACGATTGATAAAAACATCACTAATCGTTTCTTCAACTGCAGTACTATATAAAACATATTTAAAAAATAATTTATTCAAAATAAAAAAAAAAAATTAGTAGCATGACAATAAATCGTTAGTAAACATCAATCATCTTGTTGATCCAGCTTCATCACCTAAACATAACGGCAATCATAAATCAACTAACCTCATCAAAATTAAAATTCACAAATCGTTATTTCAAAACCTTAAACTTTAAATTTCTTAAACCTAAAACTTTTAATCTTAAACCAGATCATCAAGGCTTATCCATGGATCTAACTTAAATTTCTATCTTTAATTTTAATTCTGATCACCAAGGCTTATCCTTGGATCAAAGAACAATTTTGTTCTCCCCCACCCACTTATTAAGTGTCTAACGACCTCAAACGTCGATTCACTTTCCAACCTTTTCAAAAGACCTAGGACTAATAGAAATTTTTCAAACATTAACCATTAAAATTAAGCTAAACAGTAAAGAACTTCGGTTATTCATCCTTCACTTGACCCCTCCTCTTATACGACCCAGGATAATCATAGACTTAGTAAGTTTAAAAAAGTACCTAACGAACTACTTGCGTTCTAATTAAACCTGAACCTTGTGGATCGATTTACTAATCTCCAACCCTTGAACACAATCACTACCCCTAAGTAAGATTAAGTAAGTTAACAACTTAGCTTATACTAGCCACGAGAAAGTAAAAATCATTCTTCGGAATCGATATACTTTTCTCTCCAACCCTGAATAAAAAGACCCAGGCTAAGCTAACCAAAAAATCGTAAGGACTAACAGTCTAGGATATTAAAATCACTTACAAACAACTTTGCATCCATCATCCTAAACCTTACGTCATTAAAAAATCTAGGAAATAAACAAACAATCGTCATACACAATTGTCAAATTGAAAATTAAAAATACGATGTTGTTATAACCCCGCATACACAAACAATTGAATACATTCACACAAAACGGCAAACACTAAAAAGAACAATCCTAAGAAAGCAAAGACAAATAACACAAAAAAGATTTTCAAAACACCGAAATGCATTTTCAGAATCAGAAGTCAGTAGTCTCGATGCACTATACAAAGTAGAAGACTCAATAAATCAAACTTATCCAATCCAGGACCCAGTTTATTTTTCCGATTCAGAAACCAACACAATTACATCGAAAAAAGGAAAAAACAGAATAAAAAAGAAACACAAACACAAACCAGTATTTCTATACAATTGGAGTCAACCAATCAAACACATTAATATTTATCTATTAACAGTCATCAAACGAAAAGATGAGCAACACTCAAAGTGAAGAAAGTCTAGATTACAAACACGCTTTCCCCTTCATTATAGATTCAGAAATTGATAGAGGACAAATAAAAATTTTTAAAAATTTACTCATAAATTTATTTGAACCAGGAATCAGCCCATGTAAAACAGAATTTCCAGATGTGCAAATAAAAAGACAACTAATAGATCATAATCTCAAAGATATCTCTAAAATAACACAACAATACGGTATCTACACTATAGGAATCTGTACACCAAGAAAAGATAAATATGTCATTCAAACAGACGATCTTGATCTAGAATTTTCAAAGATATTCACAGAATATATCAAAATTATACAATATCATAACTCACAAAGAGCAAATTCAGTATTCATTCACAAATGAAGTTTTTGCTATATTATATACATATATAACTATATTAGAAACAACAGAAGTTCAAAGTACATCACCGATCCAGACATCTAAACACACAAAAGTCAGAAATGAAATCACTGCATTTTCTACATTTTTAAACGCAATTCGTGAAAATTTTTATAGCAATGATGTTTCACAAATACCAAACATGATTTACAAAAAATACTAGCATGGTTTACAATCGATTATTTCACACATAATTTAGATTTAATTAGCCAAGCAAGAAAAAATTTTAGACCTCAAAGTAACAATGACGACACTGTCATTGCAGAACAATCAGATTATGTTTGGGACCCTGATTGGTCTCATCCGTTATTTATAAACATCCCAGCTGATATCTCAAGTCAAGCAATAGATACAATATCTATTCATCCAGATTTTAAAAAAATAATACCATTAACATTTGACGCAACACCTTTAAATTATAATACATTTTTACCCGATACACAAAACAACAGTTTAAACTCAACGGTAATACATAATGAAAACCTCAATGGAACTCGAAATCTTACACAACAAGATATTCAAACACAATCACACTTCATATATGAAGAAATTGTCCACACAACAGTAACAACTACGCAACAAAGTATCTCACCAATACATCCAAATTTAACAACACCAAAAAATAATAAAGTAACATCACCACAAATAACATTACAATCAACCGTAAAACCCTCAGCCACTTTTGCTCCTAAATATTCACATATGGATTATCAAACTTTTAGACCAATGACAAGACCGCCTAAACCAAGAAAGACATTCACAAGAGGTAATTTTGCAGAACACAATTATAATTATACACATCCGCCAAGAACACACCACCCCCCACGAAAAACCAATAATAATCATGTATGTTCTCACTATTGGGATAAACCAACGACAACAAACAATTCAGTAAATTTTCAACCTAATCAGCATCCTCCACAGGACCATAATGAAAATTATTCATTTTTTCAACAAAATAAAAATAAACAGCAAACACCTCATCATACGGATTATCTATCATCTGATGATGATTATTCACAACCAGATATTTTTGCACCATACACACAAGAGACCGTACACAAAGACCACGACGACCTCAATATAAAAGAATTTTTCCTGAAAACCCACTAGATGTTCAAAACCAACAACCACCACAAATGCCAAATTCATATAATACACAACCTTTTCAACCAATACAATCACAAAACCCAATGACTATGCATTCGTATCAACCGAACCAAATGCAAAATAAAATCCCATTACCATATTATCTACAGCAACATGAAATTACAAAAAAATAATTGACAAATTTTTCACAAATACCAAATGCCGCAGAATCACTACAAAAGACGATGAATCCATACCTCATGGGAGGATCGTCAATAAAATGAAACAAACCACTCATGGTATTCACAGGAACAGACCCTGAATATTCAGTAGAAGATTACCTAAACGCAGTCACAGCAAATTTAATTTTGAATATAGGACCTGAACCAATAAATACACCACTCCATCAAAATTGGATACATCAACGCACAGCGTTGATACAAACAACACTAGATGGCGCAGCACAAAAATGGTTTTCAGTACTACCTATAGAAATAAAATCAGATTGGAAAAGATTTACACAAGAATTTTCAAAAATGTTTGATTCTGAAAGAAACAAACAACATCAAAGAGTTTTATGTAATGAAATTCGCAGATTACCAAACGAAACTATAAAACAATTAGCAGTTAGAATCGAAGCACTAGTTCGAAAAGCATATTCACTTAATACACATGACTATAAGAATACAAAAATGACAGAAATTTTAATGATGACCTTAACACCACAACTAAGGAAAATTGCTTTAAAGAAAAGAGCATCTCATCCCTCCTCAATTCGAGAACCAGATCTAAA